ATTTATTTATTTATTTATTTATTTATTTCATTACTTGTTTGTTTACTTGTTTGTTTATTTGTGTATTTAAAAACATGATAATACATGAAAGAAGAATTATTAATTACTAAGAATTTATTAACTATAAGTGTCGGAATACACTAGATGCCGTCTATGAACATGAGACTTTAAAAATCGTGGGTGTACTCGGAAAAACAGAGTTCAGGGCGAATGTCGGAAGAGAGAAGACATTCATCAGATGAAGACACCTAAACATGGCATTCGTTCTAAGCGAAAAACAAACAAAACGAGGCAAAGAAAAATATAGAAATTGAGCCGACACAAACAAAAAAAGTAATATAATTAAGACACAAAAGAACAATTAGAAATGGCGACAGTGGGCACATCTACATACCAGACCCCAGCTACAAATCCTAAATGTTGGTGATAAGAATGGTTACACATTTTTAATGTATAACTTTATTTTTCTATTGAAATTAGCCATATTATTATTATTATTATTATTATTATTATTATTATTATTATTATTATTATTATTATTATTATTATTACTACACCTCTGAGTAACGTGTTTCACGGGGTTATTGCACACACAGTTAAGAGTTTGTCGCACTAAGTTTTTGTGGGGGGGGGGGTTAAGTGCTATTATCCTTTGCTCTGGTTGACGTCACGTGAAGAATTGTGTATATTGAGATTTGTTTATTTGTTTAAACATTTCTACAAAAATATAACATTATTCATATTTTACGTAATGATGAAGGTAACATATCACACATTTTATCTGCAATTAATGATAAAGTCACTGCAAGTATAGTATTTTGTGGCACGCCAGGCTCCGGTCTGATTCCGTCATAAAGTTCTACATTTCGTTTCGTTTCGACACAGTCCTCTATGATAGAGAGACTGTGGTTTCAAGTAGAGAACCAAACAACTGTTATTTATAGTAGTTGTGGTTGCAGTGAGGAACGTTTAAGCTTATAATTACTATTTCACATTTATTTGCATTAACTATCATATCCCATTTATCGATCCAATCTTTTAACACACCGAGGTCTTAACAATCATGATGTGAGTGTATATGATCAGTATATTTTGGCATAATCGGCAAACATTTATTGTCATTTTACTATTGTTCTTGGAGGCATAAGAGAAGATATTTATATATACTAGTATATATGAATGTAAGGTAAAAATGGCCCAAGATGGACCCCACAACACCTTCTGTATACAGTGTGTTCATGAACTCTGCTCTATGCTATATAGTCAGTGACAACGGCACGGGCGGGGGGGGGGTGTTAAATATATTGGGGGCGTCGTCCCTCCAAAATTAATCTGAAACCCTATGTGTGAGCAAAATGTGCCCCTCAAAATGCAGGAAATATCGTTTCAGAAGGTCTATATTTAAAAATGTGTAAGGGGAGCATGCCCGGACCGGCGTATGCAAAATCTCGTGCCGCCGCCTCTGACAATCTATGTTTTGTCAGATAACTCGGAAACCCAGTCGGGGGTCAACTATTTCTGATGTACTAGTATGCCGTACGTAGTAGAGAGTTGGACACACATGCTTTAGAAATATTGGAATAAATAATATTAGTTTGACAACTAGAATCTAAATTTTTGACACAATGAATAGTCTGCACAGGGGTGGATTAGCGGCTTAACTTCAAGATAATGATTTTGAGGACACCTGGAAGACATTCACTTCTTTATGATTGGAAGATATGATATATGTCTATATTTTACAAACAGATTTTGTCACCACTTTTAAAAACTGAAGCAACTGAAGCCTTTCCCCAACAAAGTTTGAAAACCGAGTTAACCGTTGCTTACCATCCAAGGGGCGTGTGTGCAATTGCTGCCGAGACTGAACATCATAATCCCAACCAAGACTGAATCTCATTTTCGTGTTACTATTTTACAGTTAGCAACCGTCACAAAAATCCACGGAAAACAACTTTGATCAACGTGACATATGCCACATGGACATTTTGTTAATCTCACACACTTTATTGAAAATTTAAAAACCATTTGAACCGAAAGAAATGGTTATGCAACAATAAAACCAAGTACAAAATAAAATGCATTCAAATGTGTTATAATACGATCAACGATGGGGGCGGTGTATACCGTTGGGTGCATACTATCTGAACATGTAAATGTAAAGATATCATGAATGATTAAATGTTAAATATTAACTACATATCTAGCTTTACCTGATTTGACTAGGCTGGTGTATATGAATCTGTTCGAAGCATGGAATAACACGGCATAGTTACTTAATATACGTTGTGGTTTTCGGGACAATTTATTGTAAGTTATCGCTGAGTCATTGTCGTCGCCTTGATTGCATGTCTCGCTGGCTTTTTTACTTAGTAGTCTGAGTTTACAGTCTGGTAAATATCTGCCATATTTTAAAGCACGTGTGCTTCCGGTGCGATACAGTCTATATCGTGACGTCATTCTTCAGTCACAGCTCCAAGTTTCCGGAGAAACTCATGTGAACTCGAAAAAAATGCCACTCGTACCAAGCACAAGGTTGATTATTTTCAGAGTATTAGTTCACTTTGTTATAGTTTACTCGGCCACTTTCTGTCTTATTTTACCAGTCTTGTGTTTCAATTTCCCCTACTCTCCGTATTACCGTGAACGATGGTGGATAAAACCACAACCAACAAGCAGTTTAGTTAACAGCGCCATCAAGCGACGAACACAACAACTCACGCAAGCCGAAAATTATTTTTCTTCCTCCGTCGAACGATCAGACACA